TCTTTCTATGTCTTTCTATTTCTTTCTATTTCTTTCTATGTCTTTCTATTTCTTTCTATTTCTTTCTTTCTTTCTTTCTTTCTTTATTTCCGTCTTTCTTCTGTTGCTGTATGTTTCTTTTGCTTTCGTTTCTTTCTTTGCCGTTCCTTCTTGTCCTCTTTTGCTTTGTGGCTTCGTATCTCCTACAGCATATCTATACCACGAGTGCAACAGTATACTTTCGAAAGAATCTTCGCACAGGATCGACGCCGCGTTCCATTTTGTTCCGTTGCACCCCATTGCACCCCGTTGCAGCTCCAGCAACAAGCTCACTGAATGTCACTTGTGGACGTGAGCTACACCACCCACTAGACCTACTGTCCTATCATGAAAATGTGAGTCAATCTCTCCATGCTCAGAATCTCATCTCTTCATTTCCAAGCAGTACCCTGCCCACGTCAACGTTCACCGATGTAACTGGCTATTCAATCTTGCAATCTGTGCCTTAATCGTTTGCCCGTATGATCATGGGTCGTAAATGCTCCACATCCACCTGAAGGTCCAGAGGGCAATCAAACGAACAAGTCTCTAGAATGCATGTCAAGGGGTCGAGCATCACGGGCGGAATCTGCAAATTCATCGCCTGGCAACTGCAAATTGTCCTTCCTTAAAACTCTTGTGTGCGAAACACTGGATTCAAAACCGATAGTGAAGCGAAGCGGATGAGAGAAGCCGACAACTGGACAACCTGCGAAAGGAGGCGTAACAGGTCGAAAATGCAATTTGAAGAACATGGCAAATCGAAAAGATTGAAAGATGTGGCAAATCGGATGAGTCTCATGGGAAGCTCGTCAGCAGGACCAGGAGGGCTTTCCTGGCGGTTAGGCAATGAAGTGACCAAGAAATTGGTCTTCGCGGAATGAAAGCACGAACCCAAGACCATTAGGTTTTGGAGTGTTTTTGCCGAAGCAACGTATTGATACCATATCTCCCGAGCTCTTCCTTGATCCGTGACGATCAGATCATGCGAGTTTCTATGCGATGGCCCGACACACGCGACAAGAGCGGAACGTGCAAAGAGCGGAATGACTCGGACTTGGACACGGAGCTGCATGCGAGCAGCATGCGGAGCTGGTAGCAAGAGTAGCAGTCAAGCAGGATCCGCAGAGAGCACATTCTGCTGGACTTTAACAACTTCTCTCATTCTTGTTTCTAATAGCTTCTTGTTCCTAGTAGCGTCCTTGCTCCTAGTAGCGATGCCAGGAGCCCCTAGTAGCGTCCTGGCTCCTAGTAAGGCCAGGAGCCCCTAGTAGCTTCACTCCTAAACACCATTGGTCATTGATTAAGAGGTCCATAAAAAAGATTTGCCGTTCCAAGTCCAAGTCAGTTCTTCCCGCGACAAGAAATGAAAAGGACAACCGAAGCAGCCAAGGTGTGCTTCTGAGTGAGTTGATCTAGATTGAAGGGAACAATATGTTTGAAAACATATTCAAAAGAATAAACAACTAGAAACAACAAGAACGTCTGATTAATCAGCTTGAGATTGGATCTCGTTCTCTCAAGTGTCTTAACCTCTCTGAAGGGCATGAGGTATAGGAAGTGCCATCTTGCCTTTGTTTTCTTTTGCAGAGGTGGCAAACCTGGTAAATCTGCTTTTGAGCTAGGAATCCCAAATGCGTCATAATGCTAAAAACATTTGGGACTCCTAACTCATGAGACATTTGGGATGCCAAATGCTTCAACAAACATTTTGCTCATTTAAATATGCTTCATTTGTTCGCTCTGCCAATGCCACCCATCAAACAAGTAACAAAGTATACTCTTTCATTTCTGGGGTCGTTAGCAAGTACTTGTATATATATAAATGGCTACATGCTGTATCTAGATTTCTTGACACCTCAATGCAAGTCATATCTAGATATATTTATTCCCCCAAATTGCTCAGTTTCTCATCGACATCATATATGTTTAGAATCTAAGAACTGCTTTGGCAAGGCTTTTGACCTGGCGCGTAAGGTCCAATGGTCTAGAGGCGGGGCCGTCCTGCCTGGATAACTTTTGAGTCAACTATTTATCAGAAACTCATATTTTTTCCGTGCTGTGGATCACGTCCACAGGGAGTTTCGTCTTGTTCTTCACATTTCTTCCGGAATGGGGCCTCGATACGGGCTGCTTCTGCTCGAACCAGGCCATAGATCAACGGAAGCGCCCTGGACAGTTCTGTGTCGAACACTACCACCACCCCGTCGGTACACCGGCAGCATGAACTTCTCACTTCGCACTTGATGCTAAGAATCTGTGTTCTCTTTTTCAGCGGGAGTGGCTGTGAAAAGGTCGGATGAGGAGCACAAAAGCACAAGAAGAAAAGCTGCACATAAGTAACAAGAAGCCACTAGTAGCAAAGGGCATCGCTACTAGGAGCAAGGGCCTTACTACTAGGAACAATGTTTGCTAGTAGAAACAATATAAGCTATTAAGCGCAGGGATGCGGAAGGGCCAACGGTTCATGCTTAGGATGGCAGATTCCAAACCTCCTTTTGGTTGCACCTTAAGGCTGAAAAACGATCGTTCACCCAAGGCCTCAACAAGCATTTCACCTGTGGGGTGGTAGAGGCGTGCAATTTTTTCCAGAACCGACCAGAAACGACGACGACTACAGCTTACATTAGCATCGACCCCAAACAGCACTTGTTCAATCGGGTTGTTTTCAACTGCCATAGCAAACACAAGCAAGGATGCGACGTTGACCATTCTAAGAGCTGAGCAAACCGGATTGTTTTTTTCAAGGGCAGAGAACTCGAGTAATTTGGAAAATACATCGACCAGTGCAAGCGTGTGCTTTCAAAACACAAGGCTGCATGTCCGCATAGGTTTTCTCTTAGGGGCCATCGCTAGTAGGTTCCTTTTGCTTCTAGGTTGAGGGCCATCGCTATTAGGTTGGAGGCCATCGCTAGTAGGTTGGAGGCCATCGCTAGTAGGT